CGGCCCGTGGATCTCGAACCCCCGGCCCAGCATGGCACAAACCTTCATGCCAGAGCTAGCATGACCCATGGGCCATCATGCTGTGCCGGGCCAGTCCAATTTCATGCCGAGCCACAAGCGGCCTGGCCCAATTTACACCTCTAAGAGAGAGCAAATAGAATATTTTCTTAGTTTATTGGTAACCAATGGAAGGTTAGAGATCAGGCAAGCAACAAAGGAAAGAAAGGAGAAAAGTAGACTAAGCCAACAGGAAAGAGATTAACCATATGACCCTCAATGTAGAGGAAATTGCTGAAGAAACAAGGTGAAGAAAAATTGATGATCTTGACTTGAAACAGAAAGAAGCAAGGGAAAATTAAACTTGAAAACAACATCCAAAGCCCCTTCTAGTTCAACTTCTCTCTTTCCCATTTTGCTATTCTTTTTTGCCTTTTCTCCAGAAGTCATTACAGTACTAGCAAAGGGTATTTACTGTCTTTTGGATCAAACTCTGATTTAATGTTCTCAACAGTCAATCCCATGCCCGAGACAGTGTAAAGTTGGGCCCGTAGCCCGGCCCGTGAACAGATCTTGGGACATATGAAAAACACTAAAATACAAAATTGGACATGCATCGGTCCTCCCAATTCAAAGTATGCAGAATTCGAGGAGCCAGACCCTGAGGTTAACCAATGTAGCCTTATAAGGATGGATAGACCTCATTTCTAAAAAGATGACCAACCTTTTTTTTCAGATACAGGGATGATACAGTAATCGAGACCGTCAATCAAGGGAATGTATTCCCTTCACCAATCATTGGCTCCAACCTTGTATTGGAGCCTTCCTCAAAATAACATTGGCCATTACATTTACACTTCAACTGAAAAGAAACCCACAAGAGGATTTATGCTCCACAAATGGCAAGGGTCTTCTTCAATGAATCCCATTTGTTCCTGCTTAGTCCCCTTCATTTCAGAAATTGTTTCCATTTCTATATCTGTTTCTTCCTCATTTCCTCCATTTCATCTGTTTCTAAGGTTTCTTTCAGTTTCTTACAAACGGTGACAACATTCTGCCTAAATAATAGACACAGGTGATAAATAAAACAATACTGAAGATTCGGGCTATATAATTTCATTTTTTAAGGACAAAAGAGAATTTCATTAAAAACAGAAAAAAAAAGAGGCACAATGCAAGACAGTTGGTTGTCAAGCTGACATACCCACCAAATTCCAGACAAACTCAAATTCATCGTTACAAGGTTGCAAATCTAGTGTACTCCAGAAGTTCTCTAACAGATCAGTTCTGTTCACTTGATCGAAATCTGGAAGATGAAGAACCCAATCTGAAGCTAGTTTACCCACTGTTGCTACCGGATGATCAATGCTCTTTCTTCCATAATACAAAATTTAAAACAAAAAGCAAGTGCTAAGGAGGAGATACTAGACTTCTGGTTGATTAATGAAATTGTTGTTATTGATAAAAAAAAAGGAGATACCAAACAATTCTTACATACCTTGGCAATTCACAGTAGTTAAGATTCCACCTGTATTTGAGGTACAGCTTTTCAGGTCTACTGTACCTTTCACAATCAAACTCTGGAATCTCTAAAGGGACACCTCAAAGAATCATAGATAGGATATAAAGCATCATAGATCCAACTCCTTTGAAACAAATTGCAGCTACCTGCTAGTTTTCTAACCCTCAAGCTTCTCACATGCTTAAAACTGCTTTTTTTCTTGCTTGTTTTAGGAACAAAACATTAAGGAAATCACAGAGAACAAAGCTTGGAATTAAGAACCCGTCTCAGATTGTGATCCGAAAAAGAAAAAGATAAGGAGTGACAAAATGCGGTGCCATACTAAATTCATATAAAGAGAAGATTTATGGGGAGAAGTGAGATAAGAGTTGGAAATGGTAAAAGCAAAAGGCTTAAAGGAAATGAAAATAAATAAAATATAGTTGGCAATTCTTGGGCCTTCCGATATCTTATTTCTGACATGATATGGAAAAGCTTGGATATATACCTTTTAGTGGAAATGTGGGGTCACATTTCTTATTAGTTTACAAAAAGAAAAAATTAATTTGTCGGTATTTGTTTCTAAATAATTTTTTTTTCTTCCATTTAAAATACCAGAAGCTGCCAAGGTACACAAACTGTACAACAACATAGTTTTCCTGACCTTGGTATAGCCAAGGTAGCCTCCAGGCCTTGAAAATTTTGCCATGCGTCCCAAGTTTATTCAACAAGATTGGTAAATGACAAAATTCCAGAATAGCTTTTCTGGTTTCAATTCAATATACAATAGCAGGCAAATATGAATTTGCTGCCACCAGTTCTTTAAGCACATATCCTTTATGTTTCTCTACCTGTAAACATTTCTGGTTCTTCGACTTTTAAGGAGACGGCCAAAGGTGGCCAATGCGTCATGAAATTTACGGATTTTGAGGAAACCCATTACCATGGAAACTTCATTTTCTGTGAATTCTGCCTTCTTCATGACCAAATCAACAAGCTTGATCAGAGTGTCCTCCATTGATAAAGCACAAAGACCTTCAGTCAGCATGGAGAACGAGGAGGGTTCTGGTAGATATCCTTTCTCTGTCATCTCAACCACAAAATCAACAGCTTCTCCAATTGGACCTCCTCCACAGCAAAGGCCACGGAAAACAATCTTATAAGTGATGGCATCTGGAGGATCACCCTTTTCAATCATTTCTCTGAAAAGCCTCATTGCTTCTCTTGTTCTCTGTCGTTTAAATAGTGCTTGAATTACAGGGTTATAGGCCTGTGGGGCTGGAACCATTCCTTTCATCTGAACAGTTCTGAGGAGTCTGCTGGCAAGCTCAACTCTACCAGCTTTACACAATCCACCAATCAGGGTACCATATGTGACTGCATCTGGCTCACACCCATTTGAAGTCATAGTTTGGACAATATCAGCTGCCTTCTTTATATCTCCTGCCCTGCAGAAATGTGTGAGCAACGAGTTGTAGGTGAATTTGTCAGGTTTCAACCCTTCCATTAGCATTTGGTCCATAAGCTGAGCAGCTTCGTCCACCCTCTTGTTCTTACACAGGCCATCAATGAGAGTGTTATAAGTCACCATGTTCCTTGAAACTCCTTGCAATTCCATCTGATCAAAGACCTCTTCCGCTTCTTCAATTCGTTGATTTTTACAGAACCCATCTATCAAAGTATTATATGTAACTACATTGCGTGCACAGCCTTTTGACTCCATTTCTTTCAGAAGCCCTAGTGCTTCCTCTAGCCTCCCTTTAGAACAGAGACTGTCAATCAGCACATTGTAGGTAAACTCATCTGGTGGGCACCCATGATTCTTCATTTCCTCAAACAGTTCCATTGCTATGCCATGGTCACCAGAGATGCAGAGACCATGCATTAGAGAATTAAATGTACATACATCAGGTAAAAGTCCCTTGGTTGAAAGGCCACGAGCAAGTTCAGTGGCTTCTTCAACCCTGTTCTCCTTACACATGGTGCTGATAAGGGTGTTGTAGGTGACAGTATTTGGGAAACAACCCCTGCATACCATCAGATTAAGGACATCAATGGCATCTTCAATTTCACCAGATTTGCACAGTCCAGATAYCAAGGTGTTGTAAGTGAAGATATCTGGATCAAATCCCTCCTGAAGCATCACATCCAATATCTCTAAGGCATGCTTAACATGCCCAGCTTTGCACAAACCATTCACCAAAGTATTAAAAGTGAATTTATCAGGACAAAATCCCTCAAGGGACATTTCCTGTATGAGGTTCAAAGCTTCTTCTACCTTCCCCTCTTTGCAGAATCCATGGACAAGAACATTAACTGTTACATTGCTCATAGTGCATCCAGTTTCCATCATTTTTTTCTTTCATCCTCAATGCTCCTTCCATATTTCCTTCTTCTATAAAACCTTGCATGAGAGTTGTGAAGGTTTTCTCATCTGGAACCAAACCATAACTAGACATCTCCTCCATCATTGAAACTGCAGGCCTTATCTGGTGGGCTCTACACAACGCCTTGATCAATATATTGAAAGTTGAAACATCTGGTTCGATCCCCCTACTACACATGGAAGAATGCAGGGACTCAACCAGTTTTAACTTGTTCCCCTCGACAAGAATATTCAACAAGAAATTATAAGTATGCGTATCAGGTTTCAAGCCAAACTCTTGTTCCATTATTCTAAGCGTATCAATAGCTTCATCAAAGAAATTAAATCTCGCGTAGCATTCAATGAAGATGAGGAAGGTACCTTTATCTATCTCACATCCAGAGAGATTCATCTCCTTCAGGAGATGATTCATTGACTCGAAAGATCCCACCTTACCGAGTTGTTGAAGGATCTCTTGGTATGTTGATGAAGTGGGAACGAAATTTGGCTGCTTTGATGCCCAATCGAAGACACGGAGTGCAGATTCAGCATCATTCTGGCGACGGAGGACACCGAGGAGGTCTTTTGGGGTGAAATTTGGAGGAAGTTGATGGATTGCAGAGGAAGAAGATGCAGAGACCGGACTCCTATCGGATGATAAAGTTATTGTTAGCTCATTGTGAGGTTTCAGGGACGCCGAGGAGATGAAGCTGGTGGATCTACGTGAGAGAGATAGAGATGGGCAATGCGATTTTGGAGGAGGGAGACAAGAAGGATAGCATTTCAGAGAGGAGGAGAACATCATAGTGGCAAGGCTATCAAGAAAAGGAGTTCTGGAACTTGTGAAATGGAGGAACTAACAGAGCCTCTCTCTCTCTCTCTCTCACTGGTTTAGGCTTAGTTGTAGTGGCGTTAGAAAGGAGAAACTACTGCACAAACTAAACAATTCCAGAAAGCAAAGAAGGAAGGCTTATACAGTGCAAGAAGATGAAATAGGTTTTAAATTCTGATGGAAGTAAAGCAGAAACACATTATCACAAACAAACAAACAAAAAGAGGAAAAAACAGTGACGAGGAAGAGATTAGAAACCAGAAGGAAGAGGAAGATGCAGAACCCTTTCTTGTACGTTCATCTTCTCTTTCTCCTGGTCTTTGGAAGCTTGAGCTTTCTTGAGTTTCTCCGTTCTGTAGCAGACGAGAATAAGTAACTCTGTAACTGGCTAGGGGCTGAAGGTCTCCCCGCTTGTTGAGTATCTTTCCTTTCTCTCCGCGCTCTCTATTTCTCTCTCTCACCCTGAGATTTCAACGTTTGGATTTTCTTTATCAGGTGGGAGGGTGGGATATATTCGCTTGATTTTTTAGAAATTCGCTTGATTTTTCAGAAATTCTTGAGCGAAAAAAAAAGTCAATGAAGAGCAAAATATGGAATTAACTAAAGAGATCTCAAACCACGAAATTTGGGAAATAGTAAAGTCCGTGAGAGACCTAAAAGCCACTAGGTCGGTATTGGGATGAAATAGGACCATCTTTACAAAACTATTAAAGCATTCTTTCACATTGGAAAAATGACTTAGAGAAATCAATAAAACCTTTTTAGCTCTAATCCCAAAATGTGAGAAGAGAGTGTAGAGAATTATAAACCTATCAACCTCTGTAATGTAATTTATAAATAATTGATAAAATTCTGGTTAATAGAATGAAACTGTTAATGAATTAATTGCACATTTTTAGAATGTCTTTGTACTAGGTGGGCAAATCACAGACAATATACTAATTGCATATGAAATATTGAACACAATGAAACAGAAAAAAAAAGGCAAAGAGGGCATCATGGCCTATAAAATAAAAAGCTTCAAACCCACGGGGGAAATTAGGTAGGGCGACCCCTTGTCTATCTACTTATTTGTGATTTGTAGTGATGTACTATCTAAATTCATCCTTAAAGAAAATTTGGGGTGTGTGGTCAAGGATCCAATATTCCTCTAATATAGTTTGTGTATGATTGCTTCATTTTTTTTAAAGAAAATTTGGAAAATGCAACAAAAATCAAAGACTTGATGGAAAAATGTGCTCAAGCTTCAGGACAAAAACCAAATTTCAACAAATCAACTATCATGTTCTCAAAAAAAATATTCATAGGAAAGTTCAAGGGATAATATCAAGAATTTTGAGAATAGTAGTACATAGAAGATAAAGTTAAAAAAAAAAAAAAAAAAAAAAAAAAAAAAACTTACTTGGGAGCTCCCTTAATTGACACAAGAGTGACATCACAAACTTTTGAGAACTAGTAAAAGTGCATGCGCGTTGCATGTGGTGATGTATATATTGTCGTTCCAACTCAAAGACCTAATTTCAAATGTGTTTTTAGTTTCTATCAAAGTTTTCAACATGCGGTTGAACCATAGAGTTGGATTTATTGGTTTGTCAATTGGACACATTTTTTTAGTTTGTTTTAACCTAAACCAATTTATTACAAAAAAAGAAAAAAAAAACATTGACTTGGCCAAGAACCAAATGTGGTCCTTATCGATAGAACCACTAACCTATTTAACCAAGAAAATGGGCTATGGTTAATACATTAATTTGTTTTTATTTTTTGTATTTTAGCTATTTATATTTTTATTAACAATAATTCTCATTTTTTCATTTTTTCAAATATATTTTTGTTTAGTATGAAGAATATATAATATTAATACATTTACAAAATTTTCCATAAAATTTATAAAAAAATTCTATATTTTTATATTTTATTATTTAATTTATGACATAATAAAATTTAGTTATTTGACAAGAGGAAATGGAATTCTAATATATTGTTTGATATTCATTTTTAATATTGGGATCAAATCAATTTATTAGACTAATTAGCTGACCACCCAATTCAAGATTGTAGGTTCATTTACCACCAAACCACTTGCCTATGGTGGCCTAACTAATTAAATCATGGAACCATTTGACATGGTTAGTGGAGCCATGTGTTAGACATTAATGCTTTATTTTTTTTCCTAATTTTTATCCCATTCCCATCATTAATGAAAATAATTCTCATTTATCATACTTTTTTTTTATATGATGAATATATAATATCATAGGATGCATTCAAATTTATTTACTTTTTTCTATAATTTTGTGTATTTTATTATTTAATTATAACATCATGTGTTGATCCATTTGATATGGACAATTGAACCACTAATCCACCACTTGGATGGAAAAAGCCATTTTGCTTTTTTGGTTGATTTTAAATCATGTATTCCATTTTCATTATTAATAAAAGTAATTCTTATTTTCATATTTATTTTTGTTTAATATTATAAATATATAACATTATAATTGTATCAAAATGCTTTATACGAAGCTTATATTTCTTTGAATTTCTATTGTTTTTTTTTTTAATTTTTATTTCTTAGTTATGACATCATAGATTGACCCATTTGACCTACAAGATTAGATTGTTAACCTACCATCTAGATTTGGGATTGGTTTCATTTTCAGACTGGTTTTTAATTTTGCATTTAATTTATATCACTAATAAAATAATTATTATTCATCATACTTATTTTTATTTATATGATTAATATATAATATTATAGATGTGCCCAAAATTGTTTCATTTTTTGGTTATTCTATTTTAAATATTTTATTTTTAATTATACATCAAGAATTAACCCATTTGATCTGAAAGATTGAACCACTAATTTTCTCCCTAGATAGGAAAATTGTTTCATTTCCGAGAGGTTTTAAGTTCTATATTCCGTGTCCATCATTAATAAAATTATGTCTATTTTATCATACTTATTTTTTTAATATGGCAAATATAATAATAGAAATGTATCCAAAATTTTCAAAATTTCTTTATTTTCTATATTTTTATATTTCTATTTATTATTTATTTATGACATCATGGAATTGTCCATTTGACCCAAATGGTTGAACTGCTTACTCACCACCTAGATGGAAAAATATTATTTTATTTCTAGGTTTATTTTAAAAATATAAAATTTCATTATATAAATAACTATTGTGTATTGATTTATTAGTGGAATTTAATGATGAAAAACAAAAGTATAAATGTTGGATTGAGAGAGAGAGAGAGAGAGAGAGAGAGAGTGTAATTTATTTATTGACTTAAATGTGAGACTTGATGAGAGGTAATAATTGAATGCACTTAATAGTATTATTTTAATTGCATTTTCTACTTAAATCTTGTATTTCATTTTCATCATTAATAAAAGTAATTCTTATTTTTATATTTAATATTATGAATATATAACATTAGAACTATATTAAAATGCTTTATACAAAGTTTATATTTTTCTCTAAGATTCTATATATTTTTTAAGATTTATTACTTAGTTATGACATCATAGGTTGACCTATTTTACCTAGAAGATTAGATCGTTGACCTACCATCTAAATATAAAAATGGTTTCATTTTCAGGCTGGTTATAAAATTTGCATTCAATTTATATCACTAATAAAATAATTATTATTCATCATACTTCATTTTTTTTGTTTATATGATTAAGATATAATATTATAGATGTAGGGGTGAGCAGTCGGTTTATTCGGTTAAAAACCAAGCCGAATAAATTGAAAATTTTTAAAACCAAACTAAAAAATAAAAACCAAAACGAAACCGAATAATAAAAAACCAAAATTTTTGATTTGGCTTTTAGCTATTTCGATTAAAACCAAATTTTAATAAGTATATACCATATTATGTACATTATAACATATAATATATAATATATATCATGAAAGGAAATTTCATTATATTATATATTAATATATAAATAATATTATATATATTATATATTGCATATGATATACAAAGTTCAATTTATTCAGTTTACCAATCTGATTCTAAAAACCAAATTAACCAAAATCCTAAGAAAACAAACCAAATTATGATCACCCCTATAATATATGTGCCCAAAATTGTTTTGTATTTTTTTTTATTATTCTATTTTAGAAAAATTATTTTTAATTATACATCATGAGTTAACCCATTTGACCTTAAAGGTTGAACCACTAAGGCTGTTCGGTAACCCACTTTTCAAATCACTTATTATGTTTTTAAGCACTTATTGGGGTGGGAATGTTTGGTAAGCTACTTTCCCATAAGTGCTTATATTGACACAAATAACAATTTTAGCCGTCACTTCACTCATACATATATACAGTGCTTTTCACATGTTATATTATACATTTCAACTAACCCACCCGTGAATCGCCATGTGGACCCAATTAATAATAATCATAATAATAATAAATAAATAAATAACAAATAATAATAATAACTAATATTAACAAATAATGAATAATATTGATAAATAACAATTTACTGCAAGGAAGTGCTTTTAATGTGCAGTTTTCACAAATTACTTCAACAAAGCACTTTCAAGACGTAGTTTTGACAAAATATTTTCAGAAAGTACTTTTAAGGCGCAGTTTTCACAAAATACTTCTAGAAAATGCTTTTAAGGTGCAGTTTTCACAAAAATACTTATAAAAAGTACTTCCAAGATGTAGTTTTCACAAAATACTTCTAGAAAGTACTTTTAAGACGCAGTTTTCACAAAATACTTCTAGAAAGTGCTTTTAAGGCGCACTAAGATTAAATGAGAAAAAAAAACCTCTTGTCGCCAGTTGCTGGACGGTGAATCTGTTGCTGTTCAAACAAGAGAGTTCAAATGTAGATCTATAAAGAATAGGGAGTTCAAGTTAGAAAAAAAAAACCCAAAAAAAAAAAAACAAAAAGATTAAATGAGAAAAAAAACTTCAAAAAATAGTAGATAGTGGTCAAACGATAGGTCCGCCGGAAAGTGCTTTTAAGGCACAGTTTTCGCAAAATACTTCCAAAAAGTGCTTTTAAGGCGTAGTTTTCACAAAATACTTATAGAAGATGTAGTTAAAGATCAATTTTCACAAACAAATTCCATGTCCATATTTGATTAATGTGCTCTAAAGTAACATAAAAGTGCGAACATTTGTAAAATTGCATCTCATTTGGACATGTACAACATGCTCAGTGTAATAAGTCCAACTAGCAGAACATACATGGATGCCTAGTACACATAGGTTAATCTGGATGCATCATTCCTGTTAGATGGCCCAACAGTTGAAGAATCATGTAAAGCTATAAATATTGGTGATAGAGACTAAGAATGATAAATAAGTAGAATAAGGAAGCTTGTACCCTGGAGAATGGTAGTATGATTCTATGGAGTCTTTAGAAAAATCGAAATAGTACTTCTTTTAATAATAAAAATTACCCTCCCCACTTATTGGTTGAGAAAGCTAGACCGTGCCAATTACAGTTTCATCAGGTGGTGAGGTTAAATTCTTTGGTGTTGAGAGAGGAATCGAAATGTGTGCAAGCCGATTGATATTGCGATCAACAGAAGAGATCAAGATTAATTTTGATGCATCTAAATGGT